AGAGGGTCAGCCGAGGCAGCTATCTCAGCGGCACAAGACCCGCAGCAATGTCGTGTGGAGCTAGCAAAAGACGTCCTGCAGACCGCGGGCTGGCTGGACCCATTCCACCTCGACCCATCCATGATTTTCACAGTCATGGGGGCACTCAAGAGGGGAGGGTATCATTCGGCACAGTTGTACCTAGACACCGCCAAGAACTGTCACATTGCTCTTGGATTCACCTGGGATGACCAGCTCCAACAAGCATACCGCTCGGCAGTGCGCAGTTGCAAACGAGGCATTGGGCGCCCAAAACAGGCTGCTCATCTACCTTTGGACAAAGTGGCACTGATCGACCACGAACCGGCCCTTGTCGATGGTGGACCTCAGTTTCCTGTCGCTGCCACGGTGCTAGCTTCCTGGTGGTTGTTGCGAGAGATTGAACCATCTCGAGCGCGTCGCTAACATATTCAGATCGACGAAACCAACCATGAAAGTGACTTGGAGGCTGCCCAGCTCTAAAACTGACCAGGCAGCCTTAGGAGCGGCACGATCTCACACCTGTGCCTGTTCTCTACACCGCAAAGAACTCTGCCCTACCACGTCGCTGTGGAACATTTGAACAAGCTTCCACCTGGGCCGGACCCATATATCTTCCCGGCCGCAGACGGCCACAGTTCGACTAAGAAGGGTTGGGCAGACACCTTTGAAGCCTTAGCCAAGAGACTGGAGCTCCCAATCACGCGCCAGAATGGTGCTAGAGCATTCAGTGTCTCAGGGGCCAGGTTCATGGCTACAAACAACATCGAACTCTGGAGAATCCAGTTGTTCGGAAGATGGGGCTCAGAAGTCTTTCTGCATTATATCCAAGACGCTCCGCTTGCACAGCTCGACATGCTGGCGCTGGAGTCCACAGCAGCCATGTCGGTACACAAGGCTCAGGAAGAACTCGAACTCCTGCAACGACGCATTCAGGACTGCAAAGCATCCTTTAAAACTTTATGCCCCCGGAGCTGGATACGCTAGAAGACTGTGCGGCTTCCGTACACCTCGCACATCAGGAAGAGAATCTTCCAGGTGTCATAATTTTAAACACGTCTCGAGGTGGCAATACCATTGCACCTTGATCTACAAGTTAGATATCCACCCGAAACGGCGGCGTACACGGTGCGGATGGCCCTTCGGCAAGAACCAAGCCGAGTACCGGGTTTGCGAAAGTTTGAACAATGCACCCATCCACCTACGCTGCGTCAAGTGCTTTCCCCGCTCGCGCCCCGCTGACCCTGAGCCCTGCACTTCAGGCAGCGGAATTTCGGTTTCGCCCAACGAACCCTGGGCGTCTGACGCAAGTGGGACATAATTGCATGGCTGTTGGTCCAACGAGTCAGAACGGCACCAAATCCTGGCATCCCTGGATGCCAACCGTGAATTCGGTTGG